ATTTTTCTTCTGTGCAAGATTATTAATTCTGTGAAAGTGAGGACAGTGTAGGACACATCTTAGATATTTGCTATGTATAGATGGGTTAGGTAGAATGGAATAAAGTCTTTTGAAAGACACAACAAATAAATAGTGTTTAAAAATTAAAATAGAACACCTGGATTAGCATCTCTCTGTGTGTCTAGCTTATGCTAGCTGATCACCAGAAGCAACGTAATCAGTCACATTTTATTAAATAATAGGGAAGAAATTCTCAGCCAAATGATTGAAAAATGAAGAGCTGATTTATTTCAGTCAAATCCATTTGGTCCACTCTATTTTGACTAAGTATCAATAACCTCAGATATGCAGATGATATTACTCTAATGGCAGAGAGTAAAGAGGAACTAAAGAGCCTCTTTTTTTTTTTTCATTAAAGAGCCTCTTGATGAGGGTGAAACAGGAGAATGAAAAAGCTGGCTTAAAATTCAACAATCCAAAAACTAAGATCATCCGGCTCCATTGCTTTATGGCAAAGGGGAGAGGGAAAAGTGGAAATAATGACAGATTTTATTTTCTCAGGCTCCAAAATCACTGTGGACAGTGACTGCAGCCACAAAATTAAAAGACAATTGCTCCTTGGAAGAAAAGCTATGACAAACCTAGACAGTGTATTAAAAAGCAGAGATATCACTTTGCTGACAAAGGTCCATCTAGTCAAAGCTATGGTTTTTCCAGTAGTCATGTATGGATATGAGAGTTGGACCATAAAAAAGGCTGAACACCAAAGAATTGATGTTTCGAATTGTGGTGCCGGAGAATATTCTTGAGAGTCTCTTGGACTGCAAGGAGATCAAGCCAGTCAATCCTAAAGGAAATCAGAGTATTCATTGGAAGGACTGATGCTGAAGCTGAAGCTCCAATTCTTTGGCCACCTGATGTGAAGAGCCAACTCACAGGAAAAGACCCTGAAGCTGGAGAAATTGACGGCAGGAGGAGAAGTGGATGACAGAGGATGGGATGGTTGATTAGCATCACCAAATCAATGGACGTGAGTTTGACCAAACTCCAGGAGACAGTGAAGGACAAGGAAGCCTGGCATGCTGCCGTCCATCGTGTCGCAAAGAGTTGGACACAACTTAGCCACTGAACAACAATCTTGCCTAAACAAAAAGACTGTTCAGGAAAATATCTGTTGCAAAATGAATTTCTACTTCAGTAAAGTGTTAAAAAAAAAAAAGAAAGAAAGAAAAAGAAAAACAACATGATCCGCACAAAGCCTTTGTAGGACCAAACTCATTTTTTTACAAATATAAAATATAACCATACTTCCAATTTTAACAATTTATCTTAGCAATTCTTTACTTCCGATACTGACTCCATATTTTAAATACAGACCATACAAATTACAAATTAAAAATGCCAACATGGCGGATATAATGATCTCCTATAATTGGCTACTGTAAATCACCCCAACTCATATTTTATCCTATGCTCACCTCCTGATTCAGTGACTGGGATACATAGAGAGGTTAAAGGGTATCAAGCCTTGCAGGGAACTAGACAGAGTCAGAAAGACAGGACATACAGTTCAGGGAGAGTGATAGTCGCTCAGTCGTGTCTGACTCTGTGACCCACGGACTGTAGCCTGTAGACTGTAGGCTCCTCTGTCCATGGGAATTTCTCAAGCAAGAATGCTGGAGTGGGTTGCCATTTCTTTCTCCAGGGGATCTTCATGATCCAAGGATCAAACTCTGTCTACTGCATTACAGGCAGATTCTTTACCATCTGAGCCCAGTCAGTGAGTAACTACTGATAACACTACCCTACAAAAAGTGCCCAAAGAATCATTCCAGTAAGTTTTTCTTCACCCAGGAAAAGTGCTGATCACAGTGGGATGGTTGGGGAGGGATAAAGTCTAAGTTCTTTTCAAGAGTAGCATTTGGACAGATGAAGAGGAAGGAGGGAGACTCTAGACTAAGAGCCTGGTGTGAGCAGGGCACAGAGGCAGGAAAAGTGAAATGGCGAGAATGAGCTAAAACATTCTGCAGAGGTACCACGGCCATACTGAAGCAGATCTCACAATCTAAGCAGAGAACTTCATGTCCTTTTCTAGCAACGTGAAACCACAGGCAGGGAAAACCGTTAGAATATTACACTGACCAAGATTTGAAGTAACAAGTCCCAATCCCAAATGACAGAAATGGAAATGAATAAAAAGGACTTTGAGAGACTTTGCCAAAAAGAAAGGAAAAAAATAATCAAAGAATCTGGCCTTTGTCTAAAATCTAGTGAATTACTTAGGGAGCAAAAAAAAAAAAAAAGGACAATATCATGGTTTCAAGAAAACTCCAAACCCTTCCAAAAAGGTTTAAAGAGAGGAAGTAAGATGAGCTTTGCAGAAACAGCAAGAATATGTTTCAATAAGAGAGTGATGAATCACTCTCATATTGTTGTCCTATTGTATTTTTTGATACAGCATACAAAAATATACACTTACAAAACATACAATTTAGTGGGAAAGTCTTGTATTGCCACCCCCCAAAAAAAAAGCTACACATGGGGCTAATTTAAATAACACTATACCTTCAGTCTAAAGTGTTTACAAATAAATACATAATTTACCTGGGACTTTTTTCCCTATCACAACACCATAGTTCACACACAAATAACACCAACTGGAAGATACATTTATAAGCCACTTATAATACAAGTCCTCCTTTAACTTCATCACTGGTTACATTATTAATAGGCATCTTCAGTTCCTTTATGACACTTCTTGAAGGACTCAGATTGTATGTAAATGTACAGTCAAAGCATTCCAACCAATTTGTGAAAACTCTTAGACCAAAAAGAAAGTCTCAGACATACAAAGGAAAAGTTGTGTTTCTCATCTCCTCATGAGCATCTTTCAATGCCCTACAGCCAAAAGTCCAGGTATGACTTTATGTTTGAAGGAAAGTAAGGAAGTAAGAAGATATTTGTAACATGCCAACTGGTCTTAGAGTAAATGACATCCGACCCTAAAACCAGTGTGGCTCCCCACCATATTATCCTGTCCAACTACCATCTGGGGAGTCTTCAAAGGGTCCTGAGAGCTTCATAAATCTCTCAAAACAAAATATGTTTCCCTTAGAGTCATTTAAAAATTATGCTTTATATAAGTATAAATATAAACATGTTGTGATACCATGTATCACTCCAGTAAGAAGAAGAAAAGCAGAAACTTAAAGACTCACAATATGTTTGGATTATCTGTCACTTATTCACCAAAAATGTATTCAGTATCCACATGCTATGTACTGTGCTTCAGGAAAATGATGGTGGGAAACACCTGACTATCCCCCCTTTTTAGGACACTTACCACTTAGCAGGAGATGCAAATATTAATTCAAAGATCTCCCTAATAAATGTGTAAGTATGGAGAAGGAAATGGCAACCCACTCCAGTATTCTTGCCTGGAGAATCCCATGGACAGAGGAGCGTGGTGGGCTACAGTCCACGGGGTCGCAAAGAGTCGGATATGACTGAGCGACTTCACTTTTACTTTCACTTTCACCCCACAGCTGAGAAGACTTTCAGCTCTTGTGTTTGCTATTGATTGTTTTCTTGATCAAGACCTGTGACCATATTTTTTTTAAGTTGCCTGTTTTCTAATTGCATCCCTTTACACACTGTTGTCTAATAATATGTGGTATTTAGAATGCCTTCTTAATTATTTTGAGCAGCCATTGCCTGTATGTTCTTAGCACCTCCTTGGTTTTCTTACGTGAACTCATCTGACACGGAAATGCAGTTTTTTGTTTGCCCTCTGCATACTGGACCGTCTGAGTCAGTGTTCTAACTAATCCCTGATGGTCTCTGAGCTGCTGTTCTACCAGACTCAGTAGTTATGTGCTTCAGGAATTTTTTGGTAGAATTGGTCCTATTAGGAGACTCTTGGTGTCACCTTTGTTATCTTAAAAGTTGGTCCCTTCGCTGAGGCTCTTAATTTTTTGAAAACTTGATTCTATTTCAGCTGAAAATTGACAAGGCTATTTAAAAAATTGAGGGAAGCCATTTAAGAAATTGAAAAGTAATCACAAACAACTTTGGGTAGTTGTGACTTTCAGTTCTGTATCAGTTGAATTTTTGTGCTCTTTTCCCTGTGTACATGGTGGTTCTATTTTTCTCCAATAAAACCTTTTATTTAAAAAAAAAAAAATGTGTAAGTATACACTGACCAAAGCTATGAAGAAAAGGTGTCTGATGCTTTGAAAGGATGAAAGAATGGGGATCACTGAGTTGATATCGGCAGAATTTAGTGCAATCGAGAAAATGGATACATGTATGGCTGAGTCCCTTTGCTGTCTACCTGAAACTCTCACAACATTGTTAATCAGCTATATTCCAATACAAAACAAAAAGTTTAATATAAAATAAGGAGGAGAATCCAGAAGCATAAAGTTATGAGTTAAAGTGAGAATGCTTTAATTAATAAACTGCCTAACTCCCTACAGCAGAACTTTAATGATAAGAGAAGCTGTCAAAAAAAAAAAAGAAAAGAAAAGAAAACTTACTGGACTACTGAGCTATAAAATGCAGTTAATCAACTAATACATTTACCTTATCCCAAGGAGCCATCCCAGTGGCTCCTTTACCTGAGGTGGGCATGCCAGCATTAATTAAAATCCACCCTAAGACAAAGTGCCGGGGCCTTTGAAGCAGATTCACAGGGAACCTCACATGGCTCTAGGTGGTATTTTGGCATCTTTAATTTCCTGAATTAAAGAATGCTCATTAAAAAGTTCAGTGTTGAGTAGGACCCACTCCCCTGGTTCCTCTCGCCACTCTCTTTCATCTAGCACAGTTCCGCTTGTATCACTCCTAGAATGACAGACGAAGGCACGGGGCGCCTGAACCACAGAAAGTTCTCCTGCCCACTCGCCCCCTCGCTCAGCCTGTCCTCCCCCCCCCATCCACAGCCCCCGAGCAGCAGTCAGCGGTCAGGGACGCGGCTCCCTGGGGGGCGCAGCACTTACTTTCTCTCCTCCAGCAGGGCGATCTCCTTTCTCACCTCGCGGTATTCCTCTGCTATCTGACAGTGCTGCTTGTACACCTGCATGGACTCCACGGAGTCATGACAAGGCGGCAGAGGCTTCACAAAAAAATGAGAAGAAATCAGTCCATTTCCTTGTAGCAGAATAAATTACCAACCTCCGTGCTGTCCTGACGACCTTCAGAGGGAGAGGTTTAGCAGGAGAATGGCATTGTCGATCCACACTGGACAGGGGCTGGCTGATTCTACTGGACTACAAACGGAGCAGTGGCCCGATGCCTCCCACCTCCATGCATCTTCCAGTGTTATTCCAGGGCACCCTCAGGCCCAGGCCAGAGCCGAGACCCATGACAGGTCAGTGACCTGCCATGCACTGAAAGATAAGTCCCCTATAATTCTAAGAATCTTAAACTCTGCTTTAGAGAATATTTTGGTTGTCTGTTCAATCACCCCTTGATTTCTATTCCTGATGCCCAGAGGCATAAATGCAACTTGTAGAGAGGGGGAGCCCTACAAGAAAGGAATCCAATAAACTTACTTACAAAAATATAGAGTCACCGAAATAAAAAAGAAACCTATGGTTACCAGGGGAGAATAGGAGGGAGGAATAAACTGTGAGATTGGGATTAGCGTACACACATCACTATACATAAACTAACAACTAATAAGGGTTTACTGTATAGCACAGGAAACACTATTCAGTAGTCTGTAAGGACTTTGTGGGGAAAGAATCTTAAAAAAATAAGATGCATGTGTATAACTGATTCACTTTGTTGTACACTTGAAACTAACACAATATTGTACATCAACTATACTCCAAGAAAAAAAAAAAAAAGAAAGGAATCCAAACTGAAGAAATGATGCTGGCCTGGAAATAATGCTTGCAAGAATTAACAAACTATATGAAAGAGACGAAATCCCAAATAAAACAACGCTTACAACATGTGCAGGCAAAGAGAACAAGGATTCCTGTCTGTGCATTTCTCCCATCCTTGAGGGGTAAAATAGCCAGCACACTGTTCTAACCACAACATGCTGACTTCTTTCTAGAATTTATTTTTAAAGAACTGGCTTTCCCCCAGTTTGCAATTCTAAGTTCTAATTAGCAGCATGTTATTAAAAACATTACTTTGAGAAAAACTAGTTAATATTCTTTTAAAGAGGCTTGTAATCACCCTTTTCAATTATTTATAGAAAAATGTTGCAAAATATCTGAGAAAGTGTTAGTCGCTCAGTTGTGTCTGACCCTTTTGCGACCCCAAGGACTGTAGCCCGCCAGGCTCCTCTGTCCTTGAGATTCTCCACGCAAGAAGACTGGAGTGAGCTGCCGCTCCCTTCTGCAGGGACACTCCCAACCCAGTGATCGAACCCGGGTCTTCCGCATTCTCTACCATCTGAGCCGCCAGGGAAGCCGTGTATCTGAGAAAGATGACTTAATTGTTATACAGGCTCTTCTGTCTAAACTTCTCTTCACAGTACTCTTAAATATGTAAGCTATGTGTCTGACTAGGTTACAATCTCACTAATTTTATATTCGTAAGTGAGAAATAGTGAATTCCTTACTACTCGTGCCTCTCATTACATTCTTCAAGGACACTGATTTCTTTGGGTGTCATATTTAGCAGTCTCGTGCAAGGTATCAAAAAAAAAATTCTAGAAAGTTCTACAAAATTCTATAAAATCTGACTGATAACCCTTCCTATTTGTCATGAAGGCTTCTGAATAGAGATCTTCTAAAGGAAATAAAATTCAAACTAGATGTGGATGAAGTTAACCTTTATGTGGAACATCTGTTGTGTTCTAATCTATGGAAGTTCATCTAATAATTCTATTATGTAGTTATCTTTCCCCACTGCCCCATGAACACATTCACAGCATAAACTCAGCCTGTTGGAACCATTATGCTTTTTTATAGTGAAATAAATTGCAATGTAGTGCCCAGGAGTATTACAGTACAACTCACTCCAGGAGATAAAGCCATCGCCAAAGGCATTCAGAACTCCTGGCTCCTCTAGTCCTAGAAATCACCACCCCCTTATCAATTTTCACCTGCTACATTCGCAAATGACCAGGTGTAAGAGTAAGGATAATGAAAGCAATTTACTCTGGGTACCCTTGCCAAGCTGCGATTAAATCACCTGTGCCCTGTTAAAGGATTTGCCTACTGGAAAGCCCTAAGATTCAACGCATCCTATTTCCTGCCCTTATGAACACTCATAAGCTATATTCAGCTCAGCCCATAAGCTGCCACATGGAGGTACCTGTACCAGAAATTCAGTGTAGACACCTATGAGACAGCCAGAAAATTCTAGGACTCCATGCTTGCATGCCGAAGAGGATACAGATGCGAGAAAGGAAAGGAAAGGAAAGGAAGGAATGAAAAGACAGGAAAGAAAGAAATGGCCTTCGCTGCTATAGCTTAAAAGGAACACTGAAAATTACAGACAATAATTTTCTTAAGAGGCGAGAGGCCTGTTTTCCCTCTCGCTTGCCAACATGAAATGCTTTTTTTTTAAAGGGGCAAGGTTTTCATGACTTCTTTTTTTATTGGCATTGTTTTTCTAAAAGCTTTTTTTATGCTAATTTATTTTTTAACTTTGTGGCTGCATTGCCTGGCATGTAGAATCTTAGTTCCTTGACCAGGGATCAAAAGTGTGCCCCCTGCATTGGAAGCAAGGAGTCTTAACTATTGGGCCACCAGAAAAGTCCCTAGATTCATTTTTAAATTGTTCAAATATAAGTGTCTTTTTGGTTTCTCATAACCTTAGGGAAAAAACCCAGCTAAGTCAGAACCAGGTAATCCATTGTACATTCTAAATGATTTTCTTCTATGTGAACCATTTAAAAAGTCTTTATTGAGTTTGTTGTGAGATTGCTTCTGTTTTATGTTTTGGTTTTTTGGCCACTAGGCATGTGGGATCTAGTTCCCTGACCAGGGATTGAATTTGCATCCCCTTGCACTGGAAGGCGAAGTATTAACCACCAGACCACCAGGGAAGTCCCTGTTGGCACTTTTTAACTGTGGGAAATTTGAAGATGTTTTTATGTACTGGTAGCGTGATCACTGCTAAAGGGACATGAGGAAAGGGAGCATTTCAAGATATATTCAATATCCTCACATGCTCTCAGCAGGCTGACCATGCTATATATCACAATATTTTCAAGACTGCCCACAATTAAGAAGTTTTTCTCAACTTTTTAAAAAGCCAAAAATACTTAGTGTTCAGTGTTTCAGGGAGTAAAATGAGGCCAGGGTCACTTCAGCCTCCTGCCCCCTAAGAGCTCTGTCTTCACCCAGCCTGACTTGTAATTCAGCACCAATACACATTCTTCCAATTTGCATGAAAGCATTGAAGAGCAAAACAGAGTTTTTTTTTTAAACAAGGCAAGAAGTGATATTGCACAACCACCACAATATTGTAAACTTGTCTTTTTAGTTGCCAGGGGCTGGTGGAGGCAAGTGTGAGTGAATGAGGAATTATTGGTTAATAGGAACAGAGTTTTAGTTTTGCAAGATGCAAATGTTCAGATGATTGGTTGCACAATAATACAAATATACTTAACACTACTGAACTGTACCCTTAAAACTGATTAAGATGATAATATTTATGTTATGTGCTTTTACCACAATTTTTTTAAAAGTTAATGGAGAAAAAGTATCGTTAGATCCTTCTGCTGCCCCCAACCCATCTTCTAAGCATCGCTTGCAGGATTCCCCACCTGAGACTCACTTTGTTCACACCCTATCTTTCTCTCCTGCCCAAATTTCTCCCCAGGGAATTAAAATTTCCCAGCCCTTTATAACTTGAAACTGTGTGCCTCTAACCCACATGCTGCTGGACAAACTGGAAGTGTCCTCTGGTCAGCAGGACCCACGGTCTCTGGAAAGGCATTTAACATCATTTGTCACTCACCCCAGCTCAGGAAACTAATCCAAGAGTTTTCTAAGCACATATTGTTCTCATCCCAACAGGAATTTACCTGATATAAAAAACAGAACTACAGAGTAATGGGATGTGTGGTCCGGCATGACAGAGCCCACTCTCACTGTTTCATGATGTAATGTGGGTTTGTGTGTGCGTGTCAAACCGTAAGGTCTCCACCAAAAGTGAGCTTCTCTTCGCTTCTTATAAGCCCTCAAAATAGGAGACAATATTTAACCAACAGAGTTCACTGAATAAAGTGTTCGCCTGAGGAAATAGATTCCTAAAATTCAAGCACAGGAATCAGGTTTCCAATTTTAAAATGGAGCTACTAGTAGGCTTACATCATGTGACATTTTAAAACACTGGCACTCATGAATTAATCAGTCACACGTTGATTTAAGATACTATTTAGCATGTGCTCACACTAAAAAAAAGAAAAAAACTAAAAAATAATGTAAAAGAATGCCTGTAGTAACCAGATGAAAAACAGCTATTAATTTCTTGGAATAATAATTAACACATTTAAAAAAACTTTTAAGTATAGTTGATTTATAGTATTGTGTTAGTTTCAGATGTATACAGCAAAGTGATTTGGTTATATAAGTGTACATATATATATTCTTTTTCAGATTCTTTTCCATTATAGGTTATTACAACATATTGAATATGTTTCTCTGTGCTATACAGTAAATTCTCATTTACCTATAACACTTTTATTTTTTATTTCAATTCTCTTTGCTTGATTTTGACTATTCTCCGTCAAGAGATTTTCATACTTATATTCCTGTGCTAGGAATGAACAAGCAATAAGTAAAGTCCACGTTGACAGTGAATTTCTTTTCGCTTCATGAAGAGAAATTTTCCTTTCTCCAAGTTACCCTAAATTCTCCCTTGGTTTGGATGCATTTATTGCACATTCTTATTTAAAGAATGAAGTATTGAATTTCAAAGAAAAGGCAGCCAAAGATACCCTATTTGAGTTAGGGACTTTGGGAAGGTCACGTACATACTGCTATATTCAAAATGGATAACCAACAAGTACTTATTGTATAGCACGGGGAACTCTGCTCAATGTTATGTGCCGGCCTGGATGAGAGGAGAGTTTGGGGGAGAATGGATACATGTATATGTACGGCTGAGTCCCTTCCTTGTTCACCTGAAACTATCACAACA